CGGCCGCCGGCGTGGGGCGCGGCCTGCGTCCCGGCACGCGGTGCGGAGGCCGTGTGTGGCGGCGAGTTCGAGGCCGGCCGGGGCTGGCAAGCAAGACCTTGTCCCAAAGGAACGAAACAAGCAAAACCCGCAAGCAGACGTCCGGAAGTGTGGCCGTGGGTCGGGCACCAACACACAGCAACGTTCGCTTTCATGATTTTTAGGAAACATTGGAAGAGTCTTTGGTTTCAAATATAGTCTGTTGTGTTTGAAGCAAACCATTCAGTTGTACCGAATTCCGTGTGGGACGGGAGTTTCGACGGTGCACGTTAATGTGCTAGTTAGAACTGCTGTCGGATGGGAAGGAGGGACCCCTTTTCCCCGCTGGGATGAGGCACCGAGGACCTCATCGCCGGGCCCGCAGGTGACACCTCAAGCCTTTTTCTGGATAGAAGAAAGGGAAGTTGCGTGGCTCTGGCGAATACACTTGCTTCAACTGTTTGAAAAAGGGGAAGAACGCGGGCAGGGGGTGACAAGGGCTGCCTGCCCTTCCGAGTTTAGCAGAGCCTGCGGAGTGGTCTGAGCTGAAGCACGCTTTCATCAGTCAGAGACCCGCTGCGTCCCTCACCCTTCCCGATGTCTACACTGCGGGTCACTGTCGTCGCCCCTGTCGGCCGATCCCGGTGCCGGGCCCTGGCGCTCGGGCCTCTACTTGGACTGTCACCTGCCGCATGCGTCCGCATCAGCACTTTTCCAAACCGTCTGTTCAGAGCGCGGACAGGAAGCGCAGCAGCTTGCACCAGGGACACCACCTCCTGTTCATGCGTTTTGCATATTGGTGGCCTATAAGATTGATTTTTAAAAGATTCAATATATCGATGTGTGCACGGACCCCCGCCCCGAGGTGTGGAATGGTGCCGGGCTGGGGAGCGGCAGAAGAACCCAAGTGTTTAATGTGCACGTGCGGATCTGCCGAAACGATACTCCTTAATCTGTATAACCAATTTTTAAAAAAAGAATAAGAAAAGAAACAAAAGGATTCTGTTGCTTAAAAAATTTCAAAACGACTGACATGAATAGAAAACCAAATTGTTAATGGTATTAGTTAAGGCACTCTAATCTATCTCACATTAATTTCTTTCCCTTGGTTTCCTTGACTTTCTTGTATCCTGCCTTCATTCCAGCCGAGCTTTCCTAGTCCCAGTCTCCGAATACATCAGGCCGGTTTCCCACCTCCTGCGCCTTTACCCTGGATTCTGGGGAGGCTGGCTCTCCGCGCTGGAGCTCCCTCCCATTGCAGAGAGATCCTTCGCTTTCCTGAGCCTCCCAGCCTGCCTGGGAGAGGGTTCAGCCGTGCTTCTCTCCTACAAGAGTGCGCACAAGCGGACTTCCAGGGCTCAAGAGGCGAAATGCAGTGCGTAAATGTAACTTTCTTTCCAAACAAATGGGACCGACATGTCCTACACACCTGGGCCTCCTGGGCCGCCATCTCCTTCCACCCTTTAAAAAAAAGTTTCTTCTCTTCATTCCAGCCCACGTATCCAAACCAATTTTAGATTTTTTTAAACTCCAGCTAAAAATACTTCCTTTTGCTTTGCTCACTCACTTCTAAGCTGTAGCAATCCCATGTTGTGAGGGGAAAAATAAATACATGATTAGATGATTTTTCAAAGAAAGAGAATGATGATAAGCCATTATAAAGTAGAAATATATGGCAATGATGTCGACTCTGATACAGTACAAATACTTGTGACAAGCTAGGGTGTCAGCCGGTGTTGTCCCATGATGTCTGCATTAAGGATCTTCTGTATACTCTGCCCTAGGGCATAAAGAAGATGCATGCCACCGCCCTATTCACTCGTTGTATTTTAATTAAGCACCTCCTGCATGCGTGACGCTATCTTAGGCATTTGAGCTACACTGACCAGCAAATCAGACCCAAATCCCTTTGTCCTTCTCCAAGAGGGACCTCAAGCACCCTGTGCTTTCTTCCCGTTGGACTCTCAGATGGAATCCCAAGCACTCTTCAAAGTTTTAAATCTAACAAAAGTGTAGCCTTCTGCCTCTTGCGATGGACTTCATGTCTTTGAGTCGGGGCTATGCTTTCCAAGCTGTCCTGCTGATTCTGGGGACCTGCACACCCCGCCTCATCCAGGGCTAATGGCTTAAGCTCCACCGCAAAAGCCTGTGTACCCCTTGGGAACTGGCTCTGTCCCTTCAGGCTCTGCTGGAAATTCCCCAGTGTAAGTAGAAAACTGCTGTATTAATCAGTTTCATTGACACTGATAAGCGATCCTTAGGGCTCTCCATTTTAAAAACTCACTGATCTTTGACTACAAGACTCATTCCGTGGGCACCACATGAAAGAGTTCAATCCACGTGTGAGTCCACAACCCGTGGGGCAGAGCCTGTGCCTCAGTGAGAAACTCTCTCTAATACTACCTCCCTGCTTCCTCCCCTCTCTGCAGTTGCCACCTGCCCTTGTGGTTCTGCCAGGAAAAAGTTCAGAGCTGTAAATGACCTACCTGCGGCTCTGCAGCTTTTAAGAGCCAGTGCTGGAATCTGGACTTGGGTCCGACTCCAGAGTTCACATCTTTCTTCTACACTACGCTGTCACATGGGGCGGCGGGAGATAATGCCGAGAAGATGTATTCAAACCGTGTTTTCAAGAGCCGGTGCCTGAGTCAGTGCTAAGATCAGTCTGGAAGCACTGAAGTCTGTTAGCAAGGAAATACCCCCGCCGCACACACACCCAGGACCAATTTTAGGAATGGATCTTCTGCGAGAAACCTACAGGGAACAGTGTTGTGCAAAGAGGTGTTAGTGTAGTGTCAGGCCCTAGGGAAGAGGTGAACCAGTGTGGAGGCCGTAGGGCAGGCGGAAGGGCTGCAGACCTTATTGGGAAGGAGTGCTAGAAACCATGGGGTCCCAGGAGAGAGGAGAGATCGAAAGAGGGAGAAAGAGAGGACTGTGAGCTCTGAAGTGTGACCACGGTCGCACTGAAGGAATGTCATGGCCATGGCCTACAGAAGAGCAGACACGGGGCTGGGGATTTAGCTCAGCGGCAAAAGCGCCTGCTTGGCAAGCGCAAGGTCGTGAGTTCGGTTCCCGGTACCGGAGAAAAACCAAAAAAAATAAAATAAAATAAAACAAGACAGGCTGACAACAGCAAATGCTGGTGAGGGTATAGAGGAAATGGAACTATCATTCGCTG